CCCCAAAACCCCAAAACCCCAAAACCCCAAAACCCCGTCAATTATTTATTTAAAATTTTACAAATTGAAAAAGAATTAGAAATTAACAAGATTAAAACATGTTTAATTTAGTAAGTTTATTTATTCCTCCATGAATTTTTAATCATTTAAAACTTGAACTCGATTCTAACTTAGTTGAACGCCTAATCAAGAAGCTTGCAATAAATGCTGCTAGGTTAATAAATAGCAAGAATTTTAGTGGAAAACTTTTATTTTCTGCTTCTGCAATCATCGGTACTAATAAATTTACTAATCTAGAAAAGGATCCACATAATGCATAGCTAGTTGCTAGTATTCTTGAATCCAATAGAAGTATATGGGAAACAGTACTAGAATAACTCATACATACAAATGTTTTCAATAGAAAGAACAGTAAAGAATATACCAAAATATGTATTCTCTAAGCGTCAACCATTAGAATAATAAATACAATTATTGATACTATTCCATAAGCCATATTTAAGGATCTGACGACATCATATTTCAAGGAGATAAAGTCACTAATAAGATAACCAATGCACGAGAATCCCATTATCATGCTTATGGTATAAATGTCTCCAGGTATATACTTAATGTAGAAGTTCATTAAGAAAAAAGTAGCAGAAGATGCAATCCAACAGAAAGTCATCATTGTCATGTTATAGATAGTATTTTATGTTGTCAAAAGCAGCTTCAAAATTTTGACATTTTAATCTTAAATTTCACCAATAGCAATATCATTCATAAATCTCTAAGACTCTTAATCGAATTTCTTATGATAAATGTAGCTATCTATTAAATCAAGGACTCTTTTCTATTGAGATTCTGTGGATTTATTGATTAAGCAAATTTTCTTGGTATCTTAAATAACACTGGAGTAATTTCCAACACTTAAATTATATATGATTGACTCAGGGAATACATTCATAAAGGTAAGAACTAGAACTAGAATCGATGAGAACAGAGCTAATCCAACAATCGCATTCATATTCTTTGATACATTGAGTATGATCAAGGGTGTAATGATGAATATTAGAGAGTCACAAAAGAATATTAGGCCAGTTAAGAATGAAGCTCTCTTTCCCATAAATTCCATCAGATGCGAATAGGTAACGAAATTTTTGTTTGTGAAAGTCATGCCCAAAATAAATATAACTAAGTACATAGTGAGGTAATTTGAAATAAAAAACATCCCGAGTATAATTAGCATTTGCAGTACCATTCCACTTACGACAATGATTCTGCGACCATATTTGTCTGATAGTGGTGGGAATATAAAGCTAGCAATTAATTAACCAAGAAAATCTATAGAACCAAATAGACCTATTATATAAGAATCTGAGCAGTGAAGATTGAATTTTTAAACCCAGTTGTTTAATGATCGATTATTACCTTCGTCAATTTTCCAATTGAATGTAGGATTTTATCTCTATTCACACATCTGCTACCTCGTACATGTTTACCATTCATTATTGAATTCACATTGATAAGAAGGGTACATTAGTAGATACCCATAATTATAGGTTACTATAGCTGCTGTGCAGTAATGAATAAATATTGAGACTCCAAAAATATATTAGAACTTTCCAAAAGGTAGAGCCTCAATAATTGAGTTTGCATCAATATTAGATTTAGATCCTATAATTAGTTTCTCATAAGCATCTTGTTTAATTATTGGCTCTGATTATTCTGTTTAATTTTTAGCAACTAACTCTGTTTCTAATTTTTAGTCCATAAAATCTTCGTTCGTCGACAAAGCAAAGTTCAAATTACAATTAATTACTATAGCAGAACAACTTAAAATTTGCTTTAACCAAATAACTTAATAAATTTCTAATCTATTAGATTTCTAATTATTCAATTAAAGTAAGTTACTCGCATTCATGGGGTTTTGGGGTTTTGGGGAGATCGGAAGAGCACACGTCT